ATGAGAGTGCTCAGGACACAGGCTCTGTAAACCTGAATCTTAGTATACTCAGTTAGCCTATTGTTGGTCCACACTCTCTTTGTCAGTCTGGACATGGTGGTAGATGCCTTACCGATGCGTTTGTTTAGCTCCGTATCAAGAGAGAGGGAGTCAGAGATTGTGGAGCCCAGGTACACGAAGTCGTGAACGACTTCCAGTTTGGAATCAGAGATGCCGATGTCAGGTGGGGAGTCCACTCCTTGTCCCATGACTTGTGTTTTCTTCAGACTGATGGTGAGTCCGAAAGCCTGAGAGGCCTCGCTGAAGCGGGTTATGAGCCGTTGGAGGTCTTCAGCTGAGTGGGCAGTGACTGCTGCGTTGTCGGCAAAGAGGAAGTCGCGCAGACACCTCAGCCGAACCTTTGTCTTGGCTCTCAGCCTGGCGAGGTTAAAGAGCTTTCCATCCGACCTGGTCCGGAGGTAAATGCCTTCCGTGACAGATCCGAAGGCGTGCCGCAGCATAACTGCGAAGAAAATCCCGAATAGGGTTGGAGCCAGTACGCAGCCCTGCTTTACTCCACTTCGGATGTCAAAGGCGCCTGATGTTAGGCCATCAAAGACCACGGTGCCCCTCATGTTCTCATGGAAAGATCTGATGATGCTGAGGAGCCTGGGTGGGCATCCGATCTTGGGGAGGATCTTGAACAGGCCATCCCTGCTGACGAGGTCGAAGGCCTTCGTCAGATCTATGAAGGCTACAAAGAGTGGCTGCTTCTGTTCCCTGCATTTCTCCTGCAGTTGTCTGAGGGAAAAGACCATGTCGATGGTGGACCTGCCAGCTCTGAATCTGCATTGTGATTCTGGATAGACTCTCTGCAAGTACTTGGAGCCTCTTCGGTGCGACTCGAGCAAACAGCTTTCCGACAATACTGAGGAGGGAGATTCCACGGTAGTTGTTGCAGTCGCCCCTGTCACCTTTATTCTTATACAGTGTGACGATGTTGGCATCCCTCATGTCCTGTGGCACCTCTCCTTCTTCCCAGCAGAGGCAGAGAATTTTATGCAGCTCCATGAGCAGGCTACCTCTGCAGCACTTCAAGGTCTCAGCAGGAATGCCATCTTTGCCAGGAGCTTTACCAGAAGCAAGGGAGTCTAGGGCATCGCTGAGTTCTTCCAGGGTCGGTTCGCTGTCGAGCTCCATTAACACAGGCAGACACTCAATGGCGCTCAGGGCATCTTCGGTGACCACATTGTCCCTGGCGTATAGCTCAGAGTAGTGCTCGACCCAGCGCTTCAGCTGCAGTGTCTGGTCCTGAATCACCTCGCCAGTGGCAGATTTCAGAGGAGCGGTCTTCCTCTGGATTGGGCCGAGGGCCTGCTTGATGCCGTCATACATTCCCCTTACATTGCCTGTATCCGCTGCAGTCTGTATCTGGGAGCAGAGCTGGAGCCAATAGTTGTTGGCACATCGCCTGGCGCTCTGCTGCACTTTGCAGCGGACGGCCCGAAGGATCTGTAAGTTGTGCTGACTTGGGCGGGCTTTGTAGGCTGCCAAGGCGTTTCTCTTCTCTTCGATTACAGGTGTCATTTCTTCCGAGTGAGCCTCAAACCAGTCTGCCGACCTGCTGGTCTTCTTGCCAAAGGTGGAAATGGCAGCGTTGAACACAGCGTCTCTGAAGTGCTCCCATCTTTTACGGGCAGTGACCCCAGCTGGGCCAGGGAGAGCTTCCTCGAGCACATGTGCAAAATCTTCCACCTTGTCCTGGTTGCAGGTCTTGGTGGTGTTGATGCGAGGTCTGCCCGCCTTTTTTGAGTGATGAATCTTCTTTGGTTGCATCTTGACCCTGCTACATACCAGGGAGTGGTCGGTGTCACAGACAGCACTCTGGTAGCTACGCGTAATCTTGACGCTGGGTAGACTTGCACGCCTGGTAAGAATCAGGTCAAGCTGGTGCCAGTGCTTGGATCTGGGGTGTCTCCAAGATACTCGGTGTTGAGGCTTTGTGCCGAAGAACGTGTTGGTGACACAAAGACCATGAAGGCAGCAGAGTTCTAGCAGACGTTGCCCGTTCTCATTCATCCTTCCTATGCCGAATTGACCCAGGCAAGTGGGCCAAATGTTGTGCTCGGCACCCACTCTGGCATTGAAGTCGCCAAGGATGAACAGTGGCTCCTTTACAGGGATTCTCGCTATGACTCTGTTGAGGTCATCGTAGAATTTTTCCTTTGCCTCTGCTGGAGAAGTCAGGGTTGGTGCATATGCACTAATTACATTGACTGGTCCGGTTTGGGAGTACAGTTGCAGAGACAGAATTCGTTCGGTTTCCCCCATCGGTGGCATAATGTGTCCCAACAGTGCATTCCTGACGGCAAATCCCACACCATGTTCTCTGGTCTCATCTGGAGGTTTTCCTTGCCAGAAGAAAGAGAAGGTCCTCTCTCTCACAGATCCTGATCCTGGGAGCCTGGTCTCTTGGAGAGCAACAATATCCATCTGCAGCTTGCTCAGCTCCCTATCGATGATTGCTGTTTTTCGGGCGTCATTGATTTCTTGCAGGTCGTCAGAGAAACCTGGTGTCAGTGTCCTGACGTTCCATGTGCCCAGCTTTAGGGCAGTTGATATTTTCTTCTTTGGTTTGGTATTGCTTGGTGCAAAGTTGTCGGGCCGCTTGTCAGTTTTCACCCTAAACCCCACGCACCCAGTGAGGTTAACGGACCGTGGCGAGGCAACACCTTATTGGCTGGGGTTTGCCCAGCTTGAGGCGGGCGGTAGCTGCCCAGTGGGGCGCGATGACCCCTCCCACCGTCGGAAGCAACCCCTGGCGTCACACTCTTCGCCAACCGAGCAGAAGACTTAAAACCGGTAGACTGTCGCTTCCCGTGTTGGTTCGACGCTGTGAGGCGAAGCTGGAGTGTCCTCTCCAGGGCGCAAAGCCTGGGTAGGTAGATATGGAGGAGAAGCTGTTACCCATGCAGCAGGTCCCCCCTCTCCACGTTGCTGAAATTATCCAATAGAAAGGCAAATGCCAATACGCATGGTTCCAGCAACGTCGCAGGAGCTGCCAGAACGAGGTCGACGTCAACAACGAACTGCCTTAGGGGCTCCAACTCCGGATTTTTCCTCGAGGTTGACTCCTGAAGCCTTCCCAAAAAAGGGTATGGCCACAAGGCAGCGGAGGTTTAAAATCAGGGTTTTCCTTCCCCTAGATGGGCTGCCTTCCCAGGCTATCGAGTCCCATCTACCCGGAGCAGCTGGTTTTAAGGCGCCAGAGGCACGCCCTCGCCCCTTCTCCTGTCGGTAAAAGCAGTTCCGCCGGACTTAGACTAAGCCACCCGTGCAGGCCAGGAGTTGGACTTGGTTGTCAGAGGCTATTTGAGACGCATGCCGTATAGGAGCATTTTATAGGTCATGGGAGCTCGTCCCCCATTACCACTCCCTGGCTATGACAACCCCTTGGAACAAACAAATAATGATACTCTTACTTGTACAAACAAATAATAATACTCTCGCTTGTACAAACAAATAATGATACTCTCACTTGTACAAACAAATAATGATACTCTCACTTGTACAAACAAATAATGATACTCTCACTTGTACAAACAAATAATGATACTCTCACTTGTACAAACAAATAATGATACTCTCACAAGTACAAGCAAATAACGATACTCTCACTTGTACAAACAAATAATGATACTCTCACTTGTACAAACAAATAATGATACTCTCACTTGTACAAGCAAATAATGATACTCTCGCTTGTACAAACAAATAATGATACTCTCACAAGTACAAGCAAATAACGATACTCTCACTTGTATAAACAAATAATGATACTCTCGCTTGTACAAACAAATAATAATACTCTCACTTGTACAAACAAATAATAATACTCTCACTTGTACAAACAAATAATGATACTCTCACTTGTACAAACAAATAATGATACTCTCACTTGTACAAACAAATAATGATACTCTCACTTGTACAAACAAATAATGATACTCTCACAAGTACAAGCAAATAACGATACTCTCACTTGTACAAACAAATAATGATACTCTCACTTGTACAAACAAATAATGATACTCTCACTTGTACAAGCAAATAATGATACTCTCGCTTGTACAAACAAATAATGATACTCTCACAAGTACAAGCAAATAACGATACTCTCACTTGTATAAACAAATAATGATACTCTCGCTTGTACAAACAAATAATAATACTCTCACTTGTACAAACAAATAATAATACTCTCACTTGTACAAACAAATAATGATACTCTCACTTGTACAAACAAATAATGATACTCTCACTTGTACAAACAAATAATGATACTCTCACTTGTACAAACAAATAATGATACTCTCACAAGTACAAGCAAATAACGATACTCTCACTTGTACAAACAAATAATGATACTCTCGCTTGTACAAACAAATAATAATACTCTCACTTGTACAAACAAATAATAATACTCTCACTTGTACAAACAAATAATGATACTCTCACTTGTACAAACAAATAATGATACTCTCACTTGTACAAACAAATAATGATACTCTCACTTGTACAAACAAATAATGATACTCTCACTTGTACAAACAAATAATGATACTCTCACAAGTACAAGCAAATAACGATACTCTCACTTGTATAAACAAATAATGATACTCTCACAAGTACAAGCAAATAACGATACTCTCACTTGTACAAACAAATAATGATACTCTCGCTTGTACAAACAAATAATAATACTCTCACTTGTACAAACAAATAATAATACTCTCACTTGTACAAACAAATAATGATACTCTCACTTGTATAAACAAATAATGATACTCTCACAAGTACAAGCAAATAACGATACTCTCACCTGTTATAATAATGATACAGTACTGTCATTTGCGCAAATAAATAATGATACTGTCACTTGTTTTAAACAGATTAAAAAATGTTAAATTAAGTAGTTTTATTGGAGAAAAACTGTTGTTCTTATTGAATTTTAGACTTACCTTCTGAAGCTGAGAATAGGTTCTAGGTACCGATGAGATGTTTGGACCAAACTTAATCGCTTGTCCCATCTCTCAGTTACTTCATTAAGATTGAGGGGCTGGCGCTGAGGATTCAGGTGTGTTTTGACTTCTGACTGACAAGAAAATCTACCCTTTGCCACACTTGACTGGTCAAACAGCAGTAAACCGGACACCATTTCTTCCAGCTCAGTCATCATGTGAAGCCTAACAATATTGTTAACAATGAGCACATGTACTCTGTTTCATTACACATGCAAAGTTAAACATATAATTTCAAATGCATATTCAACAGAGAAGTTAATTAAATTATTGAAAACTCTTCTATAGTTTAATGGTCATACAGTAAAATATATTTATTGACTGCTTACATTAGAAAATTTAATACATTATTATAACTACTTATGGATGAAGTAAATAAAATGTAAGTGGAAAATCATTAAATAAATCTACATTTAAAAGAATATAACTGTCCACTACTCAAATGGTTTACCAAGCTCAACACATTCCCATATAAAGTTATTTCAAACATTTTGTTCTCTCTGGAAACAACCTTTTTTGATGAAAACTATTTAACTAAGAATACAAGAGGAAAAATAAACTAATAACAAAAACCAGCGTTGAATGTAATGAAACTCCATTTTCTGGGCGAGTCCCGGAGGCTCCCTGGAGCTATCCATGGCTGATATGGATACCCTAACTGTTTTGCATCAGTCGATGTGGGTGGACTTCTAGGCCTACCGGGGACCACGAGCCAGAACCTGGCCCCCTCACAGAGGCACGGGGAGCAATGGCCCATAGAAATGCACATGTGATTTGGAGTATTCTATATCTGCCATCGACCGGGACAGGCACCCAGAAAGGTAAGTGCCACAAAACAAACCCCTATTCTGGTTAACAACGAAATCGACAAACGAGTGGACAGAACTCCCCAAGAAAAACGAACAAGCATGACGTCACACGAACCGCACCGCATGTCTGTGCAGCTCCTCTCCCCCCGGGAGGGGGAAGGGGGAACCCCAGACCCCCGCACCGGCAATCCCCGCCCCAGTTCTGAGGCTGGATATCAAAATCGCGAAAAAAACAGTGACCGGAGGGCGGGAGGGTGCCAGGGAGCCTCTGGGACTCACCCAGAAAATGGCGTTTCATTACATTCAATGCTGGGTTTCTAGGGGGAGCCCCTACGACTCCCCGGAGCTACTTCACCAAAAACTACCTAATAAAACAAGGGGACATACCCGGGAGGCAGTCGGTGCTCCACTCCTCAACACGAAGTCGAGACAACAGGCTGCATCCGCTGACCTAAAGCAACACAGGCCCGACTGGACCCAGTAACGTTCACAAGGGAGCATGCAGCCAGGACTCTGTCCGATAGCCAAAAACCCCGTGCCTGAATGACAGCCCAAGACCTATCGCCGAAGACGGCAGCTAGAGCAGCAAACTTATGAACGTCATGGGCATGGGAATAGACTGCAGGCTCGCTAGATTTAATAACCCCACGGACTACCTGAGAGACCCAAACCTGCGAACAGGGAAGAAGGGAAACCGGATGAACCTAAAGCGCTTCCCTGGACACAAAAGCCGTGGAGTGTAGATAACGGTGGAGGGCCGCAACCGGACACAACACAAGGTGAACCCCCGGCCTGACAACCCAAGCAACAACCCAAGGACCCCTCCAGAAAGCAGCAGTTACATTCTGTCAGAAAAAAAGGGAGACGGCTGCAGACGAATAAACCTATGGCCACGACCATAGGAGCAAAAAAGCACCACGCCTGAGAAGAGCACGAAGCTCAGCCACAAGACCCCCAGAGGCCAATGCCAACAGAAAAAGAGCCTTAGCAAAGCAATCCTGAACCGAAAGAGCCACAACAAACCGAGGAGAAGAAAGACAGGAGAGCACTCTGTCCAAAGACCAGGACGGCTCAGGCGGTGCATGAGCAGGCCAGAGGTGAAACCTCTAACCCTGCCCTGACCCCGAAGCCTTCAGACACGTAGGGGCCAGAAGCAGGAGGGGGGGGGGGGGAACAAAATGAACCACCGAAGGGGAAAAACAAGGGGGCGTGGATGGAACCAAGGCCGAAGCGACCAAAACCCCCAAGTCTGGGTCCCTACACGAAGCAGGGCAGCCTCGGGGCATCCGGGGAAGCAACAACCCGAACGCGTTGCAACAGCCTACCTTGCAACGTTGAGCTGCCTGCACCCAAAGGAATTCATTAGCAGACTGGGTGAATTGAGTCATGAACAAGCAACACAGCTCGCAGGACTCGGGGTCGAATAAGTCACCGACCCAACAGGCAGCATGACGGAGGCAAAAACAAGGAAAGTCACTCTGAGACAAGGGGACAGAGCAACCCTCAACTCGCACAAAGCGAGAGGGGATGCAAGGGTCTCCACTATCGGACCCGAGAGCCCCCGTGGGGTTTCCCAGGGCCCCTAGACTGGGTCTGCTAAGGGTTATCCCATGCAGAGCACTGCTAACCGGCGCCCCAAACTACCAAGCAAACTGCTAAAGCTGAACCCACGGGACGTGTCCACCCGTGAGGGCGAAGCAGGGGGTGCCACCACACAAACGACCCTAATATAAGGGGTAGGAACACAGAGCAGACCCCCACCAGGCAAAAACAAAAATAAAAGAAAAACCACACAAATGGACAACGTACCCAGAGGGAACAGAGCCGGCCGCTGTTATAGGTGAAAACTAGCTACGCAGTACCCTGCGCCCTACCAGTGCTATACCTACCACTTACCCCAAGGTAAACAAAGGAGGAAAACTCCCAAATCACAATAGAAATGGTGATACACCCACATCAAAAAGACCAGATGCGAAGAACAGAGGAGAAGGTTGAACCAGCCCCGTACCGGACCGGTCCGATCTGCTGAAAAAGACGGAGCAGCGGAAAACGCCCCAGGTTCGCATACCGAGCAAACAGCGCTGGAAACCAAGGTTGGGTCGGCCACTAAGAGGCCACAAGGACTACTCTCCCTGGGAAGGTCTCCAACCGAGCCAGAACCCGAAGCAACAGCTGGACCGGGAAAAAGAGGTACAGGTAACCCCACCTCGACCAGTCCTGCCGAAAGGCATCCACTGCGAACGCCTCGCAGTCGGGGAAGGGTGTCACTTACACTGGGAGACACCGAGACCACACCGACACGAAGAGGTCCACGTCCAGGAGTCTGTACATCTGGCAGGTCCAAAGAAACAAGTTGTTGTCGACCATCCATTCCGTGGACAGGGGAATGAAGTGAGACAGGCCCTCCACCAGGACGTTGGACACACCTTGGATATGAACCGCACAGAGAGCCAAACCCCGAGAATCCAGCAGATGAACCACTCGAAGGGACCAACCCCAAAGAGGCACGGACCGAAGAGAACCTCCGTGGTTCAGGCAATGAACCACAGGAGAACAATCCGAATGGGGCTGAATGGTCGATCCCCGAGCGACCCGAACACTCTGAAGCATGAACCAGACTGCCGCGAACTCCCGAACAGTACTGTGAGCCCGACGGAAGGACGGACCCCACCGTCCCTGGCCGGCCTGGTGAGTACTGGTCACAAAGCCCCAGCCGAGAGACGACGCATCCGTGAACACATCGAGCGAAGGTTCGGGCTGGTACTAGGGAATCACTCTCGGCTCACACACCACCTAGAAGACAGTCACCACACTCTAGGTACAGTGCTGAAACAACCATTGGAGCCGGAGCAAACGACCGGTGTTCATAGCATCAGCCTCTGAACTGAAGGGTGGATAGCCGGGTGGAGATCTGGGGCTCCCCCTTCCCCTTCCCGGGGAAGGGGGGGGGGGGAGGAGCTGCGCAGACAGTGGCGTAACGACGTGTCGACGTGTGACATCATGCTCGTTTGCTCGTTTCTTTTTGGGGAGTTCTATCTAGTGGTTCGACTTTTTATAGCAATTTTTCACCAGAATAGGGGTTTGTTTTGGAACGCTTACCTCTCTGGGTGCCTGACCCGGTCAATGGCAGACATAGAATGCTTCCAACCACACGGGGGTTTATAGGCCATTGCTCCCCATGCCTCTCTGAGGGGGCCAGGTTCTGGCTCGTGGTCCCCGGTAGACCGGGGACCTGCCCCCCCCTTCCCCATCCCAGGGAGGGGGACGCTGCGTGGACAGCGATGTAGTGACATCATGCTTGTTTTCTTGTTTTCTGATTGGGGAATTCTGCTTGCTCATTCGGCTTTCAGTTTGCAATTTTTAACCAGCTGTAGTTTGTTTTGGGATTCCAACCTTTCTGGGTGCCTGACCTGGTAGATGGCAGACACAGAATGCTTCCAACCACATGGGGATTTCCAACTACATGGGGGGCGTCTATAGACCATTGCTCCTTGTGCCGCTCTGAGGGGGTCAGGTTGTGGCTCGTGGTCCCCAGTAGGCTAGAACTCCATCGACTGACTGTTGCAACAGTCCAATATATACACATCAGCCCAGTATAGCTCCGGGAAGCTGAAGGGGCTCTCAACAGAAAACACTCCCAACTCGAGGGAAGACAGACAATCATAGACCACCGGCTTACCTGAAGAATGGGGACCACCCCAAGCGAGGAGGCCCTCTAAAGGGAGCGTATCCCGAACACCTCGGGGAAGAAAACTATGACCATGCAAGGGTAGTACTCAAAGAGCGCACAGGGAAGATAACCCTGAGCGTGTGCAGCTCCAAGAACAATAAACTTCTGACTCATGCTACAACAAACATACAACACATAAAAGAACACCTCAAGCGCAAAACACCACTCGAAACATGGGAGACTGAAGCCAGAGCAACATGAGAGCTACCAGACACCATCAGAAAAGAGCTGACTGTGGACCAGCTGGCTAACCTGGTACCGCCTCCTTCCTCTCCCCAACCGAAGGAGAGGTGGGGCAAACTAGCGCACGCTACTGTTACAAACGTTTTGTGCTTTGTTTTCATTGTTGGGCGTTCTTTTAGTAATTTTGGGGTTGTGGCCTCGTTTTAAACCATGTAGTAGTCTGATCTAGTTTGCTTAGCTTTCTGGGTGCCTTTCCTGATGGTGGCAATTATGCTTAAATGATAAATGTAAAGTGCTCATATGCCATCACTCCATACGCCTCTCTGAGGGTGTCAGGTTCTGCCTCATGGTCACTGGTAGGCCATCAGAACTCTGTGACTAATGGCACTTAGTAGTTGTGGCACTGAATCTGTGTGAATAGATTCATGTAGCTGATGGGGCTCCCCCCAGAAAAATTACTTTCAGACTGAAGCCCAGACAGACAACATTTTTTTTTTATTTTTTTAGAAATATGCACGATTCAAATAACAATCTAAGATGTTCCAGATTCACTTTACCTGTCCTTTATTAAGAGTCATAAGTGGTTAAAATCCCAATAATTTGCTGATTTTACCCACATAGATGAAATGGTAATTCATTCTACCAAGACAATGTACACTACACCCTATTTTGAATTAACTAAACACCTTACAACATACATTCTTGAGGTGCAGCAACTGTATGCCTGCTATGCATAGGAAGAAATTGGTTTTTATTCTCACCTTAAAATATGAGGGTAAGCTCTTTGGTAAGCCCACTTTTCCATACTTGCTGCAGAAAGTGAAGTTATCTGCTGAGTTCTCAGATGACGTAAGCTATTCTGGTAGGCCGTGCAGTCTCGTGCTCGAACTGCAAGAAGGATTTGCCCAACTCCTTCTCCCCAAGATGCTTGACTCGGGCTAGTCTTAAGGAAGGTCTCAAGCTGGTCCCACTGGCCAAGTTTCCATGCTGCCTCAACACGATACTTGTTCAATGAAGGTTCCAGTTCTGGCCTAAAGTTGATATTAATAATACTTTAAGTGTAAATGAAATGCTTGTGTCTGAGCATACAACTTGGTTGATACCTTAACCCTTAAACTGCACATGGCATACATATACGACAGGAGTAACATGTCCCATCATGCGCTTAGCATACATATATGATTTGCATATTTAAAATATTTAAAATAGTTCTGCACATACATAGAGGTCACATTTGTTTCCACAGTCCACAAGAAAACATCCCCAATCTTGAAAAAAATCCCGAGTCCCTCACTTTCCTTCTAGGGCCTAAATAAGAAAATGACGACCAATGCTTCCCAATATCATCATCCAGTGTCTGAAGTCTGAACAGCCATAGAGGAGACACTAAACTTTTAGCAACAGAAAATGAGTGATTACCATCATGAGGTTATCTTGAGATGATTTTGGGGCTTTAGTGTCCCCACGACCCGGTCCTCGACCAGGCCTCCACCCCCAGGAAGCAGCCCGTGAAAGCTGACTAACTCCCAGGTACCTATTTACTGCTAGGTAACAGGCACATCAGGGTGAAAGAAACTCTGCCCATTGTTTCTTGCCGGCGCCCGGGATCGAACCCGGGACCACAGGATCATGCATCCAGTGTTCTGTCCGCTCAGCTGCTGGCTCCCATATATATATATATATATATATATATATATATATATATATATATATATATATATATATATATATATATATATATATATATATATATATATAACTGAAAACTCACACCCCAGAAGTGACTCGAACCCATACTCCCAGAAGCAACGCAACTGGTATGTACAAGACGCCTTAATCCACTTGACCATCACGACCGGACAAAATGAGGTGATAGCCGAGGCTATTTGAACCACCCCACCGCCGGCACTCGGATAGTTATCTTGGGCATAGCATTTTACCAAATCACCTCATTCTTAGGGGCACACGTGAGGAACACATACCAGTTGCGTTGCTTCTGGGAGTATGGGTTCGAGTCACTTCTGGGGTGTGAGTTTTCAGTTGCATATTGTCCAGGGGACCATTCTGGCTTGTTCGCATATATATATATATATATATATATATATATACAGGCATACCTCAGTTTAAGAGTTTAATTGGTTCCTGGAGACGCCTCGTATTCCGAAAACTCGTATACCGAAGCTAATTTCCCCATAAGAAATAAAGGGAAATGAATTAATCCGTTCCTGACTACCCCAAAAACCCCACATCAAACTAAATTTTTATACCTAATTCATCTAAATAAACCTACAAAACTATGTTCAAGTTATTACTTACCTTGCTGTTGAATGCTGTAGGCATATGGAAGATGGTGAGGAGGGGGGAGGAGGAGAGGAGTTACTGTTTGGAAGGGGAGTCCCCTTCCATTATCACATCAGGCAGTGAAGACCTTTCTGGCGTGCTCTCCCTGGGACGTTTTATCTGAGTGCCACTAGGTCCTGGTTGAGGCTCACTGCTCGATTTCCTCACCACAAATCTGTCCAAACCCTGGCTTTCTCACAAATAATGGCCTCCGAAACACGGTCACCCCTTAACTCCTTGTCGTGTATCCAAATTAATAACAACTTTTCCACTTCTTCAAGTATTTGTGGTCTTTGTTTCGTTATTGTTCTGACTCCTTTTGCCACTTTAGCACCCATAATCTCATTTTTCTTCTTAAGTATAGTGCATATTGTTGATGTGGCTTTGTTGTACTGCCTACAAAGTTCAACAACACGTGTACCGTTCTCATGCTTCCGAATGATCTCATGTTTCTCCTCTATTGTCATCCTCACATGGGCTTTCTGGCCTTTATCCTTACCACTGGCTTTCTTGGGACCCATGGTGAGATATATAATAACAAATTGTATAGTCAAATCACCAAAAATCCAACAAAACACTGAAAATCCGCGAGAAGAATTTATGTGGGGTAGTCACTGGGCGCGAGACAATGGTAAACTGAGGGGCTGAGGGGCGGAGGGGTGGAGGGGCGACGATCGCCGAACCACCATGCGCTGGGTCGGCCTGTACGTGTATCAACAAACTCGTGTCCCGAGGTAACCCTCGCATTCCGAGACATATTTTACAAGGAAATCCTGCTCGTATTCCGAAAAACTCGCATACAGGGACACTCGCATTCCGAGGTACCACTGTATATATATATATATATATATATATATATATATATATATATATATATATATATATATATATATATATATATATATATTAGTATATTTTGGTAGCAGTCTTTCCTGTAGACATATATTATTAAATATGACCGAAAAGTAAGATTAATAATTCTAACACGAATTTTCTCAATCTTTCTTACGTTTCTTTTCACTGTTGATGGTAATTCAAAAATCAATTCTCCAAAATTCATTTTTATTTCTAGTCTGACGTGACACTTGAGCGCGTTTCGTAAAACTTATTACATTTTCAAAGACTTTAGTTTACACACACACACACATAACTTTAACTGAATAGAGCTTAACCCTCAAACCGCTAGGGGCCCAAATGGAATTCACACCCACAGGCGCAACAACAACAAAAAAATCCAAAAAATTCTTTCGTCTTATAGAAGTGTTCATTTTTGTTCCCTGATCACAGAAAAAATAACAAAAAAATCGTAGGTGGCATATTTTAGCCGCAATAGGGTAGGGAAGTGTGACAAAAAAGGGGCGTTGGCAGAGCCTTCGCCAGATGAGGTCTACTCCGCCCGAGCTGTCAGACGGCAGTTGCCACAAATATATTATTATCTAATTATTTCAATGTCTCTGATTGATTTTTTCTTAGTTTTTATGCAGTAATATTATTCCATACAGTGAATTGTGGTATATTTATATTATAAAATGTGTGAACCATCGCTGTACTCAAAATTATGGTGTGCATATTAGTGATTCAATTATTATGTTCATAAAACAATAAACAAATAGTTTTGCTGTTGTTACACTATATACACAGGTTATATATAAGTATTTGCATGTTTTGTACACCATAACGAACTACTAAGTTGGTCTTGTGAGTCAAAAAGCAACGAGGAGTGACCGCCAAACACCAGCGAGCCACTCACTGCCACTCCCTCCCTCAACACCACCTCACTCACCCTCCCTCATTCACCTCCCACAATACTCTTTCTGTATTAATTCACTATACACAGACGTTATATATACGTATTTACATGTTTTGTTCACCATAACTGTACATCTAAGCTTGTATGGTGAGTAAAGGCACAAAGACGTAGCTACTCACACAGTCAGCTGATCGGCGGCCGCCCTCAAGGCCAGACGCACTAATATTTGTCCTCCAACAATATTGTTTGTGGTGTTATTACGCTATATACACACATTATATATAAGTATCTACCTGTTTTATTCACCATACCTGAACAAATAAGCTGGTATGGTGCCCAAAGATCATAGTGGCCATCAGTAAACAACATGCCAAGTCGTGCAGACGACGCTCCTCCCTCACCAAAATAGCGGCTCCCAACCTACTCCTCTCGCTGTTATCTCACACTATACACACGTTATATATAAGTATCTACATTTGTGTTCACCATATCAAACCACTAAGCTGGTATGGTGAGTGCAGTCAATAAATGGTGGCCACACACAGTCAGAAAACGACACCACAACTCTCCCTCCCACAGCCTTACTCCTCCCTCCATGAAGCACAGCGCTAAATATTACCACAATCCTGCTATTATCAGAATCCTGGTCAGTTTTATCACAATCAGGGGGCTACAGTAATACTATCACTGCTAAATAATAGCAGTATCATATATATAATGGTATTTGTAGGCGATGTTGTGGTCACAAGCTGAACAGCGGTGCTGTGAGCTCGTGCTGCGTGCGCCAACCTTGGTGGCTTGCTCAATACTGACGCTCTAACACCCAAGAATGTTGGCCTGGATTTTTTTTCTAGGTGGCATCTGGCAACTATCGGTCGTGGCTGTACTATAGCTGCTCCTATCCCAGGCGGGGCGTTTAAATTATAGCGCTAGACACGAAATCATATATAAATGATGTGTGCGGTTTCGGTTTTGTCACTGATATCATTTATATATGATATGCGCGGTTTGAGGGTTAAACATCTTCAAGTTTTTATACCTACATTTGGGTGAGGTGACATGTTACAATAGTTTTAGATGAGGCACTACACATCAAGAAGTCAACACCTGTATCATTGACAAGTGTAATAGTGAAAGTATTGGAAAAGCTAATCAAAACTAAATGGGTAGAACACCTGGAGAGAAATGATATAATATCAGACAGACAGTATGGTTTTCGATCAGGAAGATCCTGTGTATCGAATTTACTCAGTTTCTATGATCGGGCCACAGAGATATTACAGGAAAGAGATGGCTGGGTTGACTGCATCTATCTGGACCTAAAAAAGGCTTTCGACAGAGTTCCACATAAGAGGTTGTTCTGGAAACTGGAAAATATTGGAGGGGTGACAGGTAAGCTTCTATCATGGATGAAAAATTTTCTGACTGATAGAAAAATGAGGGCAGTAATCAGAGGCAATGTATCGGAATGGAGAAATGTCACAAGTGGAGTACCACAGGGTTCAGTTCTTGCACCAGTGATGTTTATTGTGTACATAAATGATCTACCAGTTGGTATACAGAATTATATGAACATGTTTGCTGATGATGCTAAGATAATAGGAAGGATAAGAAATTTAGATGATTGTCATGCCCTTCAAGAAGACCTGGACAAAATAAGTATATGGAGCACCACTTGGCAAATGGAATTTAATGTTAATAAATGTCATGTTATGGAATGTGGAATAGGAGAACATAGACCCCACACAACCTATATATTATGTGAGAAATCTTTAAAGAATTCTGATAAAGAAAGAGATCTAGGAGTGGTTCTAGATAGAAAACTATCACCTGAGGACCACATTAAGAATATTGTGCAAGGAGCCTATGCAATGCTTTCTAACTTCAGAATTGCATTTAAATACATGGATGGCGATATACTAAAGAAGTTGTTCATGACTT